TTGGCAAGTTTCACGGAAAAAGCTATGAGCAAAGAAGAAAGACTTTTTCGAAGTTCGTTTACACTCTTCTACTACAATTTTCTTACTCAATTTCTATATTAATTTGCAGCGCGACGAATTCTCAGAAACGCATCGTGGCGTTGAATAACGTTCCCGATGATCTTCGAAATGTCCCTGGAGGAGGTGCTTTCATGCAATTGGAGACCGAAGACTTGCACGTATACTATTGTAAGGAGACCGTTGAAGTAAGTTCCCAGCAAAATAACCTCAAAAAAAAAAAATGGACTCGAGTGAAAATTTAAATTTAGATGGCTCGAGATCATGGGTTGTATGCGCTTGTTGGAGATGGCGTACACAACTTGAATCCAGTTACAATTCCCAACAGAATGGATAAAGGGCAGTTGTATGTTCTTCATGCAGCTGTACAAGGCGGCATAGAGGTAACTGCAATTTCGGATTTCAAAATTTCTTAACTCTGTTCAGGTGCCCATTCTTTACGCTGTTGCGCGGTACAAAAATGTTGAAACATACAAAACAATATTTGGAAGCCTTCGTGAAATTTTGGGAGAATTCAGCGATAGATTTATCCTGGATTTTGAAAAGGTAGGTAAGCACTATCTAAATAATCTCAAAATATTTTATTTGTAGGCAGCAATTCGCGCAGCAAAAGAAACATTTCCTGAGGCTGATGTCCAAGGTTGCGCATTTCACTTAGCGCAATCTTGGAATAGGATGGCTGTTAATTTGGGGGTTCAAAAATTTGTAAAGGGGCCAAAAGCTGTTTTAGCAGTTAAAAATTGGTGGAAAATTTTGAAAGGGATGGCATACCTGCCAGAAGAGCTTCTAAACAGGGTGACGGCTCTTCTGGCCCCTCCGGTAAGTGAGGCACATGCAGCATATGTGCCATGCAACGATTTTTTGAAATATTTGAACAGTATTTATTTTAATGGTACATTCAAGGGAATGTGGTGTAAATGGGACATGCGGGATTTCAGGACAACAAATACAGCAGAAGCTTTTCATAGGTAAAAATCAAGAAACATTGTTAAAACGCAATTATTCATTTTAGCAAACTACGTGGTATGCTGTCCAGGAGAATCAATCCACCCTTTGAGGAACTGCTGGAATGTTTACATGCCATCAACACTGTGGCACTAGGATCTTTATACCATATCAAAGAAGTACATACATTGTAGGATTACAATCTATTATCTTGCTAATCATATGATGTTTCCAGAATGCACGTGCAGAAAAACTACTGCGCAAAAGGGATCAAGAACGACGCAACAAAATCAATCAGGCTATGGATGAGTTCAAAAATTTACATCTTTCTCGTGATTCTATAGAAACAAGTGTAATCGATGACTTTTGCAGGAAAATGTCGCAGTTTGTGTCGGAGAAGACTATCTGAAGTCTTCATAAATCAAAGATATCAGAGAATATATATAAAACATATCTAAAGGCGTGCTTGGTAATTACTTGAGTGCGGCTGATATGATAGCACATAATATGTTTTGCATGCCTGTGGCTGTCTTGCCTGAAGGAAATTGCTA